GTTCAAGTGGACACCAGATGCCCAACTGGCTTTCGACGCAGTAAAAAACATGGTGGCTCAATCTACGATGTTAGCGTACCCCGACTTCGCACTGCCGTTCGACATCCACACCGACGCCTCCAAGTACCAACTTGGAGCAGTCATATCTCAACAGTCATATCTCAACATGGCGCGCCCCTCGCTTTTTGGTTTAAAAAAACTATCTACAACGCAGCAGAACTACGCTGCCAACAAACTCGAATTGTTAGCCATCTTGGAAGTGCTGCGCGAGTTCCGAACCATCCTGCTTGGCCGCGTAATCACCATCTACACCGACCACCTCAACTTCGTTCACGACCACTTTACCGACACCACCATGTTACGCTGGCGCCTAAAAATCGAGGAATTTGCACCCATGGTGGTACACATCGACGGCGACAAAAATGTGGTAGCCGATGCCCTATCGAGACTACCAACGGGTGGCGCTGATTTGGACAGCGATGTGTGGGCAGCAGGCCTGGAATTCAAGATTGACAACTTATTCAACTTGGATCTTGCCACCATCTCCAAATTTCAAGCCATGGATACTACGTTGAACACGGCATTCACCAAGGAGATCAGTGGACACAACATCCGATTCGACACGAAAGGACGAATGCTAGTCCCCATCGACCTCCGTCAACCAATCTTGATGACGTACCATGAGTGGCTCCTACACCCCGGCGCAAACATACTTACAGCGTCCCTCCGAGAAGTATTCCATTGGCCTCACATGGACGCTGACGTCGCACGGTTTACAAAACACTGCGATGGCTGTAAGCAAAAAATTTCCAACAAAAAATACGGAAAATTACCGCTCAAAACCAAGGAAACACACCCCTGGTTTGAGATTGCAGTAGACACTATTGGCCCCTTCGGCCCCCTCAACCTCAGAGCAATCACCATCATCGACACCACGACGCGCCTGCTCGAAATGGCCAACGTCACAAACGCCAGCAGCCTGGAAGCAGCCCAGAAGCTCGACCGACTGTGGTTGTGCCGCTACCCCCGCCCCCACCAATGCATCTTTGATCAAGGGTCCGAGTTCAAACTGGAGTTCCTAGAACTACTTGACTCATACGGGGTACACCCTATTCCAACGACATCAAAAAACCCAACTGCAAACGCTATCGTCGAACGCATCCACTTGGTCATCGGCAACAAAATGCGCACTCAGGACTTTGAGTCCGTCGCCGAATGGGACGAATTTTGCTCCACAGTTGTATTCGCTACCCGTGCTTCATTTCATAGCACAACTCGGATTTCACCTGGTGCAGCCGCCTTTGGACGAAACATGTTTTTCGACTTTGCCCACTCCACAGATTGGCTCTCCGTCCATCGCAAAAACATTGAACGCATGAAGAAAGACAACGACAATGAAAACAAAAATCGGATTGACCATACCTACAACCCCGGCGACAAAGTACGAATCAACATGTCCACCACGCTGCAAAGCAAGCTCCTGCCAGCTAGCGTTGGACCTTTCGAAATTGTTGCAACACGCCCCAACGGCATTGTCGTCATCGATCGAGGAAAATACCTCGAATCAATCTCGATTCGACGTCTTTTACCCGCCGCTTAGACATGGGGGGGGAATGTCGTGTTCTGGAAACATCCAATGCACGGCACATGGGCTTGCCCACCATTTTCATGTTCTACGGATGCTTGCCAGTGATTCCACCCAGCTTGCCCCTGGCCCGCACATCCGTTCTAGATTCTTCCACA